GGAAAGAGAAGCAAGTGCCAGATGAATGCTTTGATGACACAAGCCTCATCCAAATCAGTACTATACAACCTGCATGAAATATTTCAAGGTGTTTTGGTTTACTAAAGATCACTTCTTAAACACACACATGCACACACACACGCACATACACGCACACTCACTCATATCAAAGCTCATGTTTCTCATTCAATACTCCTCAACTAGAATGTTCCGTATGCTGCATTTTCTGTTAAAATTTGGACCAGGGAAATGACTGTTATTTTATTATTATTATTTTTTTGTCCAAAATAAACTAGAGAGAGGTTTTAATGAAAAGGGTAAGTAACAGAGCTGTATTGTTCCTCTACAGTTCCTCTATAGTCTGCAACAATTTTTTAGAAAGTATTTCGATCTCAGTTTCTTGTTACCTCCTATACCCATTGTGACATTAAAAAAATTTGCAAATGTAAACATTAAATCAGACTTTTTCTTGATGTACAGCAAGTAGTTGACTCTGCATACCTTCCCTACTTGCTTATATTTTGAGGAACAAATTTATTATGTGAGCAGTCTAATTATTGAATACATGTTGAGTAAAGTAAGGACTAAGAAGTAATTGTTTACGTTGGGAAAAAAAGCTTCCCACCAAGAGATATTACTTGCCACAAAGTAAATTCCCTTTATGTTTCTTGAACCTTTAGCAAAAATTGTACTAGAAGAGTCACATTTTCCTTTAGTAGAATCCTTGAATAACTATAGAGCCTGGGTATTTTTAAAACTGAATACTGATACCTTATCTATACATGTGATGTGCCATGTTTTGGTATAATAGGAGAACTAAGACAGTATAAAGGAATTCTTAACACAGTGAAGTAAAATTTTATAGCACCAGACATGGACTGACAGTCTATCTACGATAAAATAATTAATACATATTTATTAAGGGTCAGATGTAATTTAGGTATTAGAATATACATTGAACAGGGAGACTACAAAAATAAATAAGTTTAACCATCTTCTATTAAAACATTATGTTTTAAATTTGTTGAATATTGATAGAGTCTCAGGCATTCTGTTTCCAAATTTTTTAAGTCCATATCTGGAAATTTGATCTATGGCTTTTTGTTGACTGTAGAAGTGTCTTAGGAGAGTCAGAAGCTTGTGTTAAAATTAGTAGAGAAATTTTCATTTCCTTTCTTTTCTTAATATTAATGTATTGCTATAATAATAGTATTAAGTTAAGCAAAGGATAGATATTGAGTATTGCTTATCAATAATAAGTGATAAGTTCAGAACAATAAAATAATTTTTAAAAAGATAAAATGCCTCTGGATTACCCTTTCAATAATAAACATGAACCCAATAAATCGATCAGTTGTAACTCTCTAAGTAATCTCCCCCATTCTTTGATGATCTTTTACTGACAAGAGTCTGTGTGTCTTTGTTGTGTTTTATGTGTTTATTTTTATTTTCTTGACCTCATGTGAAGTCCTCTTCAACTTAGTCTTTTTCTCTCTCCCTCATCAACTTTGCCTTTCTCTCTTTCTCTGAATGTTAGGAGATTTCATATTTTGTATGCCATAATGTCTAAAAACTTGAATTTAGGATTGACGACAATAAAGCAAGTTTCTAGAGTTGCTATCAAATGAAGCCCTGTGTTTTCTAAAATTAAAATTATGAACCAAGTACTAGAAGAAGAAAAATCATAGACTCAAATGTAAAATCACAGCATTTAATGAGACAATAAAGAAATAAAATTTGAAAAGAAGTCATGGCAGATTACAGACTATTCATGGTGTTTTTCCAGGTTTGATATAGAAGAATGAGTTTGTTCAAAGTAAATAGCTTTCCACCTGGGATTTAAAAACATCATTTAAATAATAAATAAATGTGTCTGTGTACATATACATAAACATATATATATGCAAACATACATATATACCTACACAGATACACATATGCACATATATACATGAATGTGTATGAATATACATATTTAATAATCTATCAACTTATAAAACAAAAATGAGTTTTTTAAATGAGAGATTTACAAAAAGGCACATATATAGCTGTATATTCTTTTAAACTATTTTAAAGAAACTAATAAAATCCGAAATACTATCATAATACTCATCTAGTGTACACAGCTATGCAAATTTTGTGAAGTACTAGAGACTTCTCTTTGTTTCATTCCTTGTTTTATCTTTAGGTTTTAATTTTCTTATCAGATATGTTTTCAATGGTCTTCAATGTATATAATTTCCTTACCTTTACTTGTGCTTTGTTTGTCTCACTAGGAAACTGAAACACTGTTGACATTATAAGAAACAATAGCATATTCATCTGGAAAATAAAGGAAAAATTCATCCTTTAGATCTCCAAATTTCTATAATCAGATTATGTCAGACAATTATAGATACATTGGGTCTAGTCTTTTCAGTATTTTGCAAGAGAGTCAATTACTTCTGTTTTCTAAATCCAAAAAATATCACTAAAATTTAAGGCACTTGATGAAGTGCATTCAATTAGTTAATGACAACTGGAATTCAAATACTTCTTGACAAACCTTGTAAGATATTCACCAGGAAACTAATAGCATTAACAATCCAGGGAAAATTTTTATGGTCTCTACAACATCTTAGTAACTTATATAGAACCTCATTTATCGACATTTTCCTATACTATTTCAGAATATTGCCCACTCTCCTTCTCAAATCAAAGTTAATAGAGGTAGTATGAAATGGAAAATCTTGCCATTACAACAACAACAACAATGACAACAACAATAAAAGACCTGATGCTAACACAGTTCTTATTTCAAGTTAAGGGGGAGCTCTTGTACATAATATCAAAAGGATTCTATGTGTTGAAAAACTCCACTAACTGGAAACTGGCCCAGTCAGAGGATATATCATGAAGTAAAAAAAAAAAAAAATCAGTATATAAAACAAAACCATTTGTTGTTTAGTCTTTGTAGACTGAGGATGATTTTGGAAAAATTGAAAGCTTGGGGAATCTTAGATATAGATATCATGTTCAATAGCTTTAGAACATGGTTGCTGCTTGCCTACCTTTTTCATAATAATCATAGACCATGACTGGGGCTGGCTGAATGTTGGACACAAGGTTGCTTTGCTCAACAGAGAAAGTGAAACTATTTTCTGTACCAGAAACCTATAAAGACACAAATTACAAATATATCAGAGCAGATCTGCTGGGGAAAAAAATCACTGAGCAAATTATCTCCAGACATTCATGATCTACCCAATTAAATAGATCCAAGTTATCAATATCTTACATAATCTTACATGATGATGAAATAATGAGTTAGGTAACAATAAATTGTATAAAAATCTATATTCCATGGCTTATATTGAGGTGCAAGGGATTTAGTTGAAAGCAGTAGAGTAATACAACATTTATGTGAATGGTAATGATGTACACATAGAAAGGATGACTCTAAAACTCACACCAGCCTTCGTTGGAGTTCATGTCAAACTACAAAATAATTATACATCTATTCTGGACCAGACTGTGTTAGATGCCATGAGGAATGAAAAACAGGGAAATTAGTCTCTAAACTTAAGAATTATCTAGTCAGGTAGTCAAGGCATACGTGACATAACATTAGAAGATGATCAGTGAGATAGAACACTGATCATCTTTAATGTCCTATATTATGTCCTATTTGTTTTTGACAAAGCCTGTCGTATGTGTCTTTAAAAAAGGGTTATCTAATTACCCTCGCAAGAAAAGAAAGTCACAGAAGAAAAAGTTATTGTTCAACTTACATTTTCCAAGTAGAAAAGAACATGGTCATTCTTGACTTCAGTCTTTATCACATGGCCATTGTTTTCAAGCTTTGAAGAAATTGGCAGGCAGGCATGGAGGATAAATATTACAGAGTGCCATTCCAATACTGAATGTTTCATAATTTTTATTTAACCAATTATCAGAAATATATCTTATGACATGTTCCCTTGTACCATGATGCTTTCATAAGCACAAGTAGGAACTAAATAAATAGATGATAAACTATAAAGAATAATGACTGCTAATTACTACAAATGAAGAATGTTATCCCTCCAGTGTTATAGCCAAAATAAAATAAAAGTGTGAATTGAGAATAAGTTTGTTTAAATGAAGCATTCGTAGCTTGGTTTTGTTAACCACTTACTTCACTATTGCTTTTTCTGTGCTGAAACTGAGTTTCTATTACTTACTTCCTCAATGGATGACATGACTGGAGTGAATCCTGATAGCATTTTTACATCAACAAGAACAATATTGGAGTTATTGCGCATTCCAATGTATCTGAAATTTAAGAATAAAACACTAGTGTAGACATCAGTCTAGAAAAGTGACATCTTATGGCAAGAGTGAAGGGCAAATAGATTATTGGCTATAGGTCTGGAAGCAAAGCTGAAGAAGAAAACACCTGAAGAAAGTCATTCTAAGACATCTGAGAATAGGCACAACAAGAATGATAATGAATGAGATGATACAAAGCAACATATGCTGATAGTACACATACTTATGGTAGTCTTATGTTTGCACAACACCAAAAGGAAATCTTTGTTTAAAAATCAGGATGTTGGTAGAATCATAGAATAGACATATCTCCAAGAGAGCTTTCAGGTCATGTCCCTAACTCAATAGCATTGCATCTACTTCTGATTTTAGCTCTGGTGTTCATGAGATTATCATTTGGAAATTCTAAGAAAATCCTCCAAACTAATTTTACTCAGTGTTTCCTCACATATTAATTAAGGTTGAAACTCTTTGGCATCTATATATTATATTTTAATTTGAGAGAATTATTTTGTTTTTCTAGTCTGAAAAATAAATATCTAAAATTTTGCTCTGTATAGTTATGAAATAAGCACTTGTAGGTTTTCTCCTATCAATCTACCTGTGCTTGTTTTTAGGACAGAAAATACCCCAAACTGACAGTATTTCCACACACACAGACACACAGACACACACACACAGAGATATACACACAAATGGAAGCATTGCTGAAATAGTGGTGTGGCAGAAGCTTGCAAATTATACTTGCATACAGTACAAATTATACTTGCCTAATTCTAGCTCTGACTTGGTTAAAATGTACTAAATTGTGGTGTCTACACAGAGAGATATAAAGTGACTATGCTATAGAAATTACACACCAATAAGTGAACTCATCATGATTACCATCATTCATATTTTGTTATTCTGTGATGGTTTAAAATAATTTTTTTTAATATATATTACTCTTTCTCTAATCTGGGAGTTGATATTAAAGTGGGGCACTTACTTGACAGACAATGTCAGGTCAAAATTATTCTGGAATATATCTGAAGAGTTTTTCTTTGCCATTTGCAAGGAAAGGGAAAATCCAGATGCCTTCTTAGGTAGTAGCACATTATACCTAAGGGTAGCCTAGAAAAGATAACAAATTATAAGAAAATTCATCTATTTATCCTGTAATAAAAACTGAAGAAGTTATTGTTTCTCTTATTTCTATTATCAATACACTTTATTTTAAATCTTTGCCATACAAGAATCACGCTAAAATTAATTGTTTAGTTTTCAGAAGATACAATAATATTTAACAACATAATTTAACAAAAATATCAGAATACTTTCAAACAGTGACATTCCTCAATTCCTCAAAAAAACTTCTCAGTTACCCAGTTATCTTTAAGGTAAATATCTCTTCATTAAATAACTTGCATTTTAAGATATTAAGTAGAAATTTTAAATGAGAGAAAAAATAAAGATAATCATGGAAACAGGCAAAATGGTAAAATAACACTTCATATATAACCGAACAGATAGTCTGACTTTTTTATTGGCAAACATTCATCTCCCTCTCAGGTAGATTTCTGTTACCTGGATAAATGCACAACCTTGCCCTTCCACATCTACTGTATATTGTCCATGTGCTTTTGTTAGCTCTGAACGTTGGACCAGTAAGCGATTGTCACTGTTAATTTGGAAAATCTCATTGGATTCTTCATTGCTAAAGGTGACAGTGTTTTGATCATTAGAGAAGGTTAACTTCATGTAGCGGGTTATAGCAAGAAGGCAGACAGCAGTGTCCTGCATAAAACAGTACAAGCAACAATCCCAACTCTGTTATGCTGTAATATTAATCATAATTTGACCTTGAACTTTAAATTAATTCATATGAATATTCCTAAGACATGTCAGTACAACACCAAGAAGCAATATTCTAAAGAATAGAAAAATATATTTGCTTGTGCTAATAGTTCTCATTTAAATTAATTTTATTCCACAAATCTTAGATTTTAGTTTTCTAAATGATTTTATAAAGTATAATCTCTAATGTTGAAAATAGTGCCAAATCTTTTCTAAAAATTAAAGGTGTTATATAATTAGGCTGCCTTGGATAATGCTTATACCCAATTATCTTCAAAGATGGGAAGTCAGAATCCAGAAAGGATGTTGGGAGATTCACTAATGTATGGTTTTGCTCAGAAACTAAGACTGAAAAAAGGTAAGTAAAGAAGGAAGTAAAGATTTTCCCCATGGGAATGAAACTACATTTCTTTGTATTAAAAATTTTTTTCTGTTAAGACATACGTCATTGTTTTTCATAATCATTTCTTCTGTTACTCATTCATTTTCTTTGCTTTTCCCAATATGCAGACCACAGAAATAGAGAGAAAATTTCTTCTTAATTGGTATATGGTTCATCCATAGTATCACCAGATATCTAATTTATCATCAAGACTCTGGTGCTTATGACAACATTTTCTTCTAGACTTACATTCTACTTTTACTGTGTGAATGGAGATATAAATCAGGCATAAATTCCTTGAAAAAGAGCTTCATTTTATTCATTTGTATGTAGAGAATTCTTAGTAGCCTGCCTGATACACAAGAACTACCCATAAAAAATTGTTAATTAAATGTAATAAAACTTATAACAGGAAATATTCCTCATCTCAGAAAGTGTTTTCTATGATTACCTCTGCTGTCTAAATTATTGTAGAGTACTGCTTTTTGCATTAAACATATTGTTATTAATATCAGACTCACGCCAATCACCTGAGTGGAAGAGAAGCCACCATGGGAATTCATCTGTTGAGCAAGCCACTGCACAACCTTACTAGCATAGGTGAGATTAGGCATTTTCTGGGACATGAGAGCCAACAGCACATAACAAGTCTTCTCAGTCTCAGCAGAAGGTGCCCAAGGAGTAAAGAATGGGGTTGCTTCTGTCTTAGGTTTCTTTGGTCTTTCCCAGTATATCACATTATCTGAGAAAAAGGAAGAATTTTCACATGGTCTCTATAAAGAGAACTGATTAAACAATGTAAGAATGCTGTAAATATCATTATTGGCTTCTGTTATGGGCTGGATTGTGTCCTTCAAAATTTGTATTTTCAAGCCCTACTCCTCAGAACCTTGGAATGTGACTGTATTTAGAGATGGAGCCTTTAAAGAAGTGATTAAGTTAAAATAAGGCCAGTATAGTGGGCCCCAATACCATATGACTGGTGTCCCTACCAAAAGAAGAAATGTGGATACATGAAAGGGACACCAGGGATGCATGCATACAGAAACAAAACAAAACAAAACAAAACAAAACAAAACAAAACAAAACAAAACAAAACAAAACAAAACTGAACATGGAGAGGGAAGATGACCGTCTATAAAATAAGAATAGAGGACTCAGAACAAACCACATCTGCTGACACCCTGATCTTGGAATGCTAACCTCCAGAACCATGAAAAAAATAAAGTTCTGTTGTTTAAGCCACCCAGTCTATGGTACTTTGTTATGGTAGCCTTAAGAAACCGATATAGTTTTAAATAACAACTTCCTAAGGTCAAAAATGGTATGTAATTAAGTTTTACAAGCAGTTTTTATGGCATAGTCATTATGCTTGATTTTCTTTATTTCACTCATTTACAAAGAAACTAACAAAAAAAAAAAGCAGAAAACCGAAAGCATATAATGTTCTTTAAAGATAAAAGACCACTCAAACAACAAAAAAAGAATGAACAAAACAGAAACAGACTTGTAGATGCAAAGAAGGAACTGATGATTGCCAGAGAGGGGTGGGTGGGAGTGCTGGATGAAAAAGGTGAAGGGATTAAGAAGTACAAATTGATAGTTACAAAATAGTCACAAGGAATAGAGTCAATAATATTGTAATAACTATGGATAGTGCCAGGTAGCTACTACTTATTGGCGGGGGCGGGAGAGGGGTCACTTTGTAAATTATAGAAATGTCTAACCACTGTTATGTATACTTGAAACTAATGTAAAATTATATTGAATGTCAACTATAATTGAAAAATAAAATTAATAATAAATAAATAAATGCAGTAAAAAAAAAAAGAAAAAAAGCCACTCGAAAATTCCATAAGAGAAATACAAACATACTAGTGAAGAGGGTTCCTGCATGATTGCTAACTAATTTTCCTCACTTTATTCTCAAGGCCATCTTCATTAGCAAAAGTGAATAATCATATTTACTTATTTTTGTAGCAGATTGATCCAGGATCTGGAGTAAGGATTCCACTTGCTTCTCTTTTCCAGCTAATCCAAAAGCATAAGCTAGCACTGCATGAGTATAGCCATTGGTGATACCATTTTCTAGTGCCTCCTCTAGACAAAAGAGCCCATGTCGTAGAGCGGGAAACTAGTCATAAAAAAGAATACATTTTAAAATAATATCTGAATATAGGTTTGCTGAAAATTTAAACTAATTATTCTCTATACTATATACTATATAATGTATCCTTGAAGTATATTTTACATACAAACCTGTTTATATATACATATGTATTATACTTTATACATATCATTAAAACAAATATTAATGGATTAATAGTATTTAAGAAATGAAAGTTAGATAGTATGAAAATGGCAGCTTCTATATCTGATCAGTCATATTCTAGTTAAAAATGTAAATTTCTTCTATGTGGCAGAGAATGTAAATTTATTTTTACACCTAAGATATTTTAACACCTAAAATAAAAGCTTGTATTTCTAAAGATGATTTTTGAGATATACCAATGACCCTGAAATTTCCTAGTATCTGATTTCAGGAATAGATTTTGCAATCAGATAATTTGACCTTTGGATTGGGAGGTAGCCAACACTTAAGTTGAAACATTTACACACTGAATTGGTTAGACAAACAGAACACAGGTTACGGTTATACTTAAAGCACAGGTTCTTAATCTGAATTTCATGGCTGAACTTCAAGAGATCTGTAAATACCTGAAACGGTATGAAAAACTTGCGTAAGTGTGCATATGTATGCTCTCCCTAGGGAAAAAACTCAATAGTGTTCATCAAAGGTTTAGATGCATGAAAAAAGGTTTGAGTAACATCAACTTAAAGAGAGGTAATGAATGAAGTGTTCTTTTGATGTTTCATCGAGTCTAAAAATTTCAAATCACTCTGAACCTACAGTCTATTTAATAAATGCATTCAGCTGACTGAAACTAAAAGATGATGGGTATGCTTACAGTAAAATTGAGCCCGGCTTCAAGAAGTGCTCCAAAAATATATGCAGTGAGTAAAATGTCCTCTTCATCTCCACTCTAAACACAAAGGAACAATGAGTCATACAGGATAGTAGAGCACAAAAGAACAACTATTCTTCTGAAGTGAAACTAGGTATGAAAGGAACACTGGAACAACTACCATTATTCATAAGAATACCTGCAAATGTGCATTTTTTAAATTGAATGGTAAATAACCAAATTCTCTGAGCAAGAATCCATCAAGATCCAATGTAATAATGGAATAAAACATACAATTAATCTCAAGTATACTTAATGACATATATAATTGTATTTATGTGGCCTGGAATTAAACTTGAATTCCAAACAATTCATATGAAGAGTCATATTTTACTTTATTTGGTATTAATTTGAAAAGGCAAGCAAAGAATTTCTCATGGGATGGAACAGAAAGTTGCTGCAAAGCTTTCTGAACATCTCTGGAAAAGTATCCCAGGAGGTAACGATAGTCAAATCTCATAGATTCTTGCGGTGTAAACTTAGAAAAACATTTATAAGTGATGTAGTTTGCAAACTGACTGTACATAAAGATCTTCTAGGAAACTTATACATGAAATCAACCAGAATCCACAGAAGAGATTCTGATTCAAGAAGTCAAGAATAAGATATAGAGAAATAAGTTTTAGTGGGTGTTCTAATGTACTGATGCAAATAATATTCAGACAGCATTTGGAACCCACTGATCTAGTATAAACCACTTGTTTTACCTATTTAAGCAAAAGATGACCCTCTCTTTTCTTTAGAAAAGAATATTTCTGAGGAGCTCTGTTTTCAAGATATAAGTAATTACAGATGGTGAACACTAAAATAAGATGTGGGGACCCAAAGCACACTTAAATTATAAGCTAGTTCTATCATCATTTCTCTCCAGTGTAAGTTTTTATCTTTCCCTTGCTTCTTTCTCTCTCCCAATTCAACACACACACACACACACACACACACACACACATGCACGCAGGCACACACTTTTTTTTTTCTAATTGTGTTAAACAGTACTGGACACACACACACACACACACACACACACACACACACAATTATGGAAGAAGAATTGGGTAAGATCAGGCGAACTGCAGTAGTGATCAGTAATGAATCCAACAAGAAGGAAGATCTGGAGATGTTTGGAAGAGAACATGAAAAATTCTGATTTTTTTCACAGAGGAATAAATCGTCTTTTCTTTCAGGTCCTCCTGATGTAAGGAATAGGTTTGGAATAATTTAAAGACATTTTTTTCCTACACTCCATAATGGTAAAGCAATGTGAAAACAATTCACATTAAAATTAAATACCATTCAGAGTTGCCATTCACCCATATTTTGAAGTGGATAAGCTTAACATTACAAAAACCAAGACTAAGAGTGGTATTATGAAGGACACAGAGGAAAAGTTCAGGATATTTCAGGGGACATTAGGGCCCGCTACAATATTATGATCAGGTATTTTATTTCCAGGGGAAAATAATAAAAGACACAGATGATGGGATGGAGGTGAAGGAAGGACATCAGAAGGAAGGGAGAATGCCTTAGGTAGTGACTTACCTAAATATGAACAGGAAAAGAGAAGGAGTGATTACTATCAAGGATATACTTCATCTCATTCGCATTTTGAACAAGGGCAAGCTAGGCCTTTATGTTTTGACTTGAGAGGGTATTGAAAGAGCACTTCATTGAAACAATGTAAATTACTAGATGCTATCACAGAACTTTCTTGCCATCCACAAGCCCCGCTCCCTTAACAGATTGTCTGGCTCTAAATTTATGTTTCCTCTCTGGGTTCCTTTTCTTTCCCCTCTCTCCTATCTCCAGTTTATCTATTGACAGAGACTGGTTCTATGGAAAGGGTTAAAAACAGTAAGGCAAACAATAAATTCACGAGGAATTATATATAGACTGTGTTTAACGTGTATGCAGTAGACTCAAAGGGGGTAATATTCCCTAGAGGTAAGGAAAACAGGCAGGCAAAGGAGCAAGGAAAGCCTACTTCTCTTAATCCCTTACCTCCCAGGCATTGTTAAAAAGCTTGCCATCACTTTTAAAGCAGCCATTGCTTTCCTGTTTGCTTGAAAGCCAGATTAAGGTCTGTTGTTGAACTTGGTCATCAATGAAAACATATTTCTTCATTCCTTCTAATGTCTTAAAAGTAAGTGCACTGAGCCTGCAGTGCAAATCACCAGTTAGACAAAAGTTAGATAAGAAAGAAATGATAATGTCAGCTACTCAACAGGTTCATTATCATTGTTCCCTTTGGGTAGTGAATGCATCTAATTTGTCTAAAGTTGATTGTAATGAGTCTTTATTGATAGCGGCTCTTTCCTTTGGGTCAGTAAAATGTTTTGAATAGCAATATGTGAAAATAAGACTAAGTAATTTCCAGCATGTTTACACCCAAAGGTCTTGCTATACAGTTCATTAGATTATCCACATGTGGAGAGAGAGCGGGTGTAATTGGATGCTTTAGGGCCTTCTAGTTTTACTCTGCTGAATCTATACAGGACTCTGAGAAGTGCAGACTAAGTTGAGGTGTTTTCCATGGAGTTAGTTAATAAGGTATGGAAGTAGAGGGGCTGTCATTAAATTTGCCATGAGACTCGAGGTATATTGAATTAGAGTGGGAATAATCAAAGATTTCGTTTTATCTGGTTCACCTCTGTAAATTCACCTTGAAACTCACTTTGTTTTTAAACCCCCACCTAACTCAACTCTCTTTATTCTCTCATAAGCCCTCTTCAGATCATTTCTACATTATTTAAAATAAAATGTTCATGTCTCACCATAAGCTTCCTTTCTGATTTCTCTGCCAAAACACACTATATGAGCCATCAGAGTTTTTGAAAGACAACTGCTTTTGATAACCTAAAATGCAACATTGTAGAAAATTATTATTTTTTTAATTTAAGAAAGTTAGAAGAAAAAAATGATGTAGTGCAAATTCTGTGTTCTGGTGTTAAACAGACATAAATTACTAAGATGATCATTTCAATTTAATTTCTGAGACTCAGGTTCTCTATCCATAATGAAAGAAAAAATTCTTCCCATATAGGGTTTTAATGGCAAATATATTACATGTGACTAAGCCTAGTTCAATACTTAACATTTACTAATTGTTTAATACTTTTCCATTAAGGTTATTTTACTTCAGTGTTATTTTTCTGAAAAGAAAACTCCCTAAAATTATACCCCTGGACTTTTTCTTAACATCACATTTTATAAGGTTCATACATCCTTTTTCTACATGCAAATCCAATCTCTCTATTGCAATGGAATATAATCCAATCTCTCTATTGCAATGGAAAGACAAACACAGAAGTTGATAAATGAACCAATTCTAGCTACTATTAAGAGCAATAACAACAAACAAGGCAGCCTGGCAAAATTATAGGCATTAAAAAAAAAAAACTGAGCTCATAATTGAAAATGTTACAGTTCTGAATTGTGAAACTAAATGACTACTCAGGTATTTAAGTTTAAAAAAAATCCTAAAATACCAAAACCAAAAAACGAAAAAGTAGCTCAGACACAGAGTATGTCGATTCAGATTCACTTTTTCCCTATGAGACCACCTCATAATAACAGCTTTTTGAAATCTGGGTATTGGTAATGACTGATTTCGTCTCTTATAGGCAGAAATTACTTAAATCTTCTTACCACTAGATAAGGAAAATAAAGCCTTAGATTTAACTTCCTCTGTTAATTGTTCAGTAGATTTCAGATAGTCAAGGACATAGGTATCAGACGCGAGTAGGGCAATATTCTGTTCTCCAGATCCATAAGGCATTTGGAGAAGATTCTCCAGATTCTGTGTTGCAAGTCCGAGAATATCCCCTAAAAATAGGAAAAGCAGAAGGTTATCATTGCTTACAGCATTAATAACTGTAGATAAAAGTCACAGGGGAAATATAAAATGTTAAAAATTGAGTCTAAAAGGTGGAAATAAGGAAATTTTTTCTGAAGTAATTTTAAAGAGGAGATAGACATAAAGGGTGAAGTTAAAGGAGTTTCTGGTATGAAAGTTGTTTCTGAAAACCTCATTAATGAAGAGGAAGTGAAGAAAACGTGTTTGCTTGCTTGCTTGTTTTTGTAAAACTAACCTTATGAACTATAAAGTATAATTCATACCTTCCTAAAAAATATTAATGAGAGACAAAGATATTTGACTTTTGTGAAACAGATTTTTCCTATTACTGAGGAAATGTTCAGCACCTTTAACAAGCAAAGATTATTCTGATTCTCCAAAGGGAAATTTAATATTTCAGATTAATGGGCTGTAATAGAACCCTTTGTTTTCCAAACACCTATTATCATCCACCAGAACAAGTGTTTCCCAGGGACAGAGATTCGAAAATAGTACTGTAATTTTCTCAGATCCCATACAGAAGCAAGCATAGAGGATAGTCCTCAACAATAATTCTCTCCAATTGATATCATAAGAAAATCTCTTTATCCTGTTATTTTTAAGAAAAATTTTGAAGACTGCCACAATCAAAAATTTCAAGTTGTTTTGAAACACAAAATTTAGCCAGCTTACCCACAACAGTGAAAAAGGCCCTGGCTGATCCTTCTACCACATTGTTTGGCAAATCCAAAATTACCTGTTTGGAGACTTTGGTGCCTGGAAAGAAAATATCAATAAAATAATGTGATGACTTCCTTTTATAAAAAAATAGCAGAAGTTTTGTAGGACAGACATGTTAGGAAATATATTCGATTATTTATTTTTATTTTACAAGTTGCTTTTTAGAAGAGATGAAATTGAGGTTTAGATTTAGTTCAAATAAAAATACATTCAGAAAATGGCATATAAATCTGTATGTTAGATAACGACTCCTATTCTCCATCAGTTTAATGTCTAAACTATTTATATATAGGAAAAAATGTAAAACAAACTACTGACTATGACATATAAAACAGTACATAAAAAGATAAAGTTTGGAGAGTCCTATTAGGCATTAAAATTATATCATAATCATCCAGATAAAACACTACTCATAATTACCATAAAAGAGGCAATTGAGGGGCAATGATTTATCTATAACTTGTTTCATTCCAAGAGTAAAAAAACCAAAAGTTACATTACGTGCTATTTAGGCATAACCCTGATTTCCCACTGTCTAAATTTATGCCAATCATATGAGAAGAGGAGTTAAAAATATACAAGATAGGAAAAATAGGCTGAGGCATACCACTGTTATGGGCAAACTAAAAAAAAAAAAAATCTCATAAATATAATTTTTGTTTGCTAAAATTATCCAATGAAGATAGGGCATGAAATAAAATAATCCCAGTGGGTATTTAGAATGAAATCACTGAGGTACTCAGTAAGGGAATTGGACTAAAGTGGAAGAAAAAGAAATACACTGACCTTGTTGATAAATTTTCTTTAGAACTAATTGGACCACCTAAAAGATCCTCTTACCTTTAGTACAGATAAGGAAACTTTCAGTCTTTTCTTTTTCAATACCTTCAGGCTGTCAAAAAGTAAACAAAAACGAGCACAGAATAATGAATCTGGATCATCCTTCCATGAAGGAAAGGTAATTAAGCATCAGTTTACACAGGCAGGACATGTTTGTCCCCAGGAGAAGATCCATTCATTGCCCCCTTCTGTTTGTATCTGGAAGCTACTATACGTTAACAGCATCCATTTTGGGCTGTGTGTTCTCATAGTTCAGACAGAGATAACATCGGTATCATTGTGAGATTCTCTCAACTCCTCCGATCCTGTCTGGCATTTCCAGTAGACAAACAAAAGCATTTCACAGAGTAGGAACATGCCAAGAGGCGAGGTGAGAACGCTCTACCAACAAACTTTGGGTTTTTTTTTGTTTGTTTGATTGTTTTTAGGACAATGGGAACTACATAGGGGTACAGGACAAATAGATTTGTCTTGGATTTGAATCAGTTAAAAAAAGGAAGGGAAGAAGAATAAGTGTTTGGGAAACATCATGAGTCTGGAGCAAACAAAAAATCAACAAGCCCGTTTCAGGTGATAAATTTTACTATCCTGGGTCAGGTATTAATTAGATAAGGATGCACTTTAATGATGTTTTAATTAATTTAAAATGACATGTCTTGTGTCAAAAGTAACTGTAAAGATAATTTTTTTTAAATAGTTAATCTATCAGATACTGCGATTTTTTTTTTTTCAATAAGGGCGTGATAGTTTTGTGTGTACATACCTCTACTAACAAGCTTCTGACCACAGTATCTTTCCAGTTTAGATTTTGCTGCTCAGTTGCTCCATTAGGGCAAGCACTACTCTGTTTGGACTCAGCGACTACAGTGATGTTCACTTTACCTGGAAGATTCCCAAACATAAGTTGAATTGACGACTGGCCCCCTCTGTAGGGGGAAATGATGAATCTGAACGACATCTTGAACTGGAGAAACAAAATTCTATCATATTTATGCTTAGACCAAAATAACTTGTTCTTTCTCCTGACTGGACATAATTTGGTATGTTCTGTTTTACCTGTTTCAGGATTCCTTGTATTAAATAAGTGATTTGTTTACTTAATTAGAACTCAAGAAACTTTAAGGAAAAATGATAATTCTGCAAAGTCAACTGAGCCATTTTCTTGATATTGGTTGTTTATAAAAGTTAGATATGACAATTAGGGATATAACATTAGATTACCAGAGCTCTTACCTTTTCGTAAGATCAAACAAGCAAAAATAGTAAAATATGACATAGTTGAAAGGGTACTGGATTTAAATCAAGTGCTAGCAAGGAATTCATTTTTTTTTAACTCCCTGTGATATCATGGATCACATAATTAATACTAATCACCAGTTTCCCTACTTGCAAAAATTAGAGGATTGAAAAACATAATTATTTTGGTTTAATGTTACCTATGCCTATCTACCAATATATTATTCTTGCTTTTTGTTCGATGGTATGTTTTGTTTCATTTGTTTCTTTTTTAGAAAACCTTTGATACTCCACTCTTAGAATTATGTCCTCCACTTAATACTGTAAAATTATACAAATGAGTACAGTATTCTATCTCAATTGCCAGGGTAAGATTTTTAAAGACTTTGTGTAGTTAGAAAAATTGAGAAACTTAAGATTTAATAGGAAAACTAGTCTTAGGAAGATCAACATCACAGATGAACTAAAATAATCTAATAAACACACTCTGTTGCTAAAATAATATAATGAATATGAGACATGAAGTAAAGGAAATTTTAATGACCCTTAATTTTTTAAATTAATGATAATGAGTATCATGCATCTATAACATCTAGCATTCTTTGTTTACTAGACTCTTTTAAACTCTTCTCTTCCCTTATATTTTCCCTTATATTTTCAAATTTATTTTTTTATGTAGAAGATAATATATATGCACTGAGACAATACTCAGTGTTTGATCTTGTTGAGATCTTGTTGATCTCAAGAGTTCAGTGTTTTTGGTGTCTCATGGCGTATTTAGTAAATCTACAAATCCTGGCAATCATTGTGGTTGAGGAGCAAATTTTGTATAGGTAATATGGGTTCATGATGATAGGTGAAGGAGCAAATGAGAAGTGAAGGAACTGGTCAGCATTAATGAACATATGACCTTCATTTGGGATAATATATAGAGACTTGATAGGTCATGCAAATTAGCATTTATATTGTATTTTGATCACATTATGCTTTTGTACAAATGAAGGGTGATTTTGCTCTACACAGGCACTAGCAACCAGAAATTAGATTAGAAAAATAGGATTTTTAATTGAGAATTTTTAAAAAGAATTTAAAAATGTGATGGAGAAAGTTATATTTACATAGAGAATTTAAGGAAAATAAAGAAACGCAGTAAAAATGGGCTGGTTTTCCATGACAGATCGGCATAGACGCATAGCTGCTTACCCAATTTCTTAGGTGTAAGAGTCCAGACGTATGTTTTCCTCTCTCCAGCTTGAATAATCTCACTGCCATTGTTTTTAGGGGTGCTGATATTTGCCTCAAAATTCTGAGATGCTTCTAGTTGAACAGAAATCTAAAAGAACAGTCATGGTAATGAAGGTGGCACTCTAAATACTTTGCTCTTACTATTCCTCCCATCTTGAGAAAATCCTGCTTTACTTATTTTGTTTTAAAATAGCAAAAATAAAAGAAACCAAATGGCTCCTCTCACAAGAAAATAAATATGGTAGAACGCATATCATTATGAAATGACATTCTCAAAGCAGTATTTAAATCATTTCTGTGAATTAAAAGACTACAGAAACAAGTCTTAGCACTTTATAGTACTATTATTCATTTAAGAATAAAAATAATATTATAATATTCAGGGAGAATGTTAAGAATTCTTTTGCCCTTGTTAGATTTTTGTCTCCAGGGAGCAACTTACCTCTATACATGTATTCAGGTAGCTGAAGACAGTAACAATCACATCAGATTGTTCATTTCGAATGACTGAAAAGGGTAAGGTCATTTCAACAAAGAAAGATTGGGAGACTTCCAGGGCAATTGTTGATGAAATGCCAAAACCGACTTCTCCATTCATACAGAAGCCATTTGTCTCCCATCGAGTGATAGTGTCAGGGATGAGAAATGAAAGATTTGCTGAACCTGAAGAACTGCAAGGCTAGATTATTAGTAAACTGCATTTTTTTTTTCTAATCCAGGAACCCAAATTTAATCCAGAGCAAGCAAAAAAGTATTAACTGAAGGTTATAAATGAGCTATAGTGTTTGGAAAGGCATTAAATAAAAGTCTTGAGAGTTATATTTCTATGAAATTTAACTTTAAAAAGGTCACATTTCTTTAAACATCAGATTTTTTTAAATTGAAGTATCTTACATTTACATAAAATTAATAAATGAGAAACAAGGCTGGAGAAAAAAAATATGTGGTCAGTACATATTATATATTTTACAAATGTGGTTTTGCTTTATATACACAGAAATAAAGCTTCATAAAGAATAAAAGAAAAAATAAAAATAAAGACATATAGGAGAGAAAACTGTTAAAAGCTCACTTGACACTGACGAGGTCCCATATCCATGTCTCTGGAAAGTTTGTTCTTACTGTTTCCGTTATAGCCTGTTCTACAGAGTCAAAATTTTCCTGCATGACTTCACCAGGTATAAGAAAAGAGAAATGCTTAATTTAGAGAGAATAAAAATACATGTTTCAATGACACATACCTATAAGTTATGCCTTTACCATACATGTTTAGTGTGAAGCAATATAGGGATTTGCTCCTGGGGCTCATTGACAATAAATCTCAACCTTGGGATCAACATTTTGATGTTCAGATTGCTCCCATTATTAAAAACAACAACAACAAATAAACAATCAGCCTACATTTTGCCTCTATAGCCAGATTCAGAAAAAGTGATATCTATTCACTGAATCTAGTTTCTCATCTAAAATCCTGGCTTCTGCCAGAAAGCACTCTGGTGCTTGCCAATGCCACATTGCTTTCACTAAAGCTCCAAATGATATTAATATTGTTAATTCTAACTTGGCCTCTAGGCTATATGTGACATTCTTATAATCGCTGTGTCCTTTTCAAACAGTCACTTTTGTTAACTTCCATCACACCGCATCCTTCTAGTTTTTGTTTCATCTCTTTTTGTTGCTCTTATTTTGCCATTCTTGTTCTAAGATGAGAATTTTCTCATCTTAGACACGCTCCTAAGAGTTCTGTTTTAGGTCTTCTTCTTACTTGGCACTCTCTCTTATTGATATCCTCACACATGGCTTCGTTACAATACTTATGCTGAAGTCTCCTAACTGTGTCTCCCACCCGGACCTCTTTTCTGATCTCCACGTTCTACACGGGACACCCCTGTACACATTTCTTTTTAGATGCTTTACAAACATTTCAAATGATACTGCTCCAAAAGTAAACTCATTATTATCCTCCCCTGCTTCTTTCCAATATTTCCCATCTCCATGAAAGATACCAAAATCTATCTACTTACTCAAATTGGAAATTTAAGAATTGTCCTTGACCCTGACCCCTCACATCATGGATTTCTTATCATAACCAACTAAATGAAAACTGTTTGAAAACAGCCTTTTTATAGTAGTCCAAGCACCTCTGTCTCTCAACTCAATTACTAGCTTTTAAAACATTCCATACATACAGACTTAAACATCTCAAGTTCTAATCCCTTTTTCCACAGAGCAGCCAGAGATATCTTTTGAAATCACATATTAAATTGCTTAAAACTTGTCGATAATGAATTATTACATTAAAATGAATTCCAAATTCTTTAAATGCCTTACAAAGTCTTCATGGTGTGTCCATTTATTTCTTTTATTTCAGCTGTCTTTATTCTTTCTCTTGAACCCTACTTTCTGCCATTCTGAAGTGCATTTAGTTTCTTACCTTATTTTTCATAGTATTCCCCTCTATGCTTGGAAGGCCCTTCTAACTCTTTCTTTTCATTAAATTTATTGCGATGACATTGGTTAATAAAATTATATGTTTCAAGAGTACAGTTCAATAACATGTCATATGTATGCCCTTCTAACTCTTTTTGTGGTATATTATCATTCACCTTTCAGGATTTAGTATAAATGCTACTTCCTCCAAGAGGACATTATAGGCCCTTGAGAAATTTAGATCTCTTCTATTGATCTTATTACCATTTTA